TTGAGTTTATCGATTCGCCTTCTAAATGCCCGCGCTTTCTCATTTTTGACTGGAAGAGTATTTCTGATAATGTTAATAACTACAAAGCTTAAAATGGATTAAGGCTGGAAAAATGGTTTGTTGGTTGTTTTTCCTTCCCCTTTGCAGGCCAGGCTGCCCTCATTTTGGTTTAGCTACCTAAAATTGCTTTTATCTCCCTAAGCATCGCTCTGCCCGTATCAATATCCTACAAAAGGTTGTCTGTCTTTTCGGAATAGACCCTACACAAAAAGACTGGAAGTCCATTATCTAAAGTTATTTTCAGCGATAGCCTTGAAGCAGCCTGACCTGGAGTCACACGGAGGCAAAATCAAGCGCCGCCATAATCCTCCCTCACTATAGCATGAGTTCACTCATGACGTTCTCTCGATCTGACCTTCCTTCGGCGGTGAAAGCTAGGCTGCGGTTACCTCCAGCCACAGAGACCCGTGCTTACAAAAATGTGCAAAACACCAACACATCCTCAGCAGCATTCAGTCTGTAATCCCAGCAAGGTAATGAGATTTATAGAAGCTAAATCCTCAGATTTTTTTATTACACTGTGAAAGCAATTTTAATATTTGTCAACACGTGTGAATTCAGCTTAATTGTTTATAGCAGGGTTGATACAAATTTCAACCTCAGTTTGTATAGAATATGCATAATTAACAAGTCAGAAATAATTTTCATCTCCCAAAAGTTTGCTTTGAGACCTATTTCACTCCTTCCCAGAACATTAAAGGAATTAAATCTTCCTAGTCATACAAACTAAAAGTTGATGAAATTTCAAGCTCCAGATCTTCAAAATCATGGTAGCATTTTACCTCCTACATACAGGACACGACAATTGTCTACATTCATTATGAATTCTTCCCACACTTGAATTATCCAAATTATCACTTGAAGTATTAGTATTTTTCTCTGAACTACCAGGCTCTGGACCCAGCTGTCAGCACAGAGCAGGTATGACATACCTAGGGTAAAGTGTAAGCTGACAGTTCTTACTTTTTTCAGTACCAGGTAAGCAAAGGATCACTTCATCTAGGAAGTCCTTTCCCCAGAAAGAATTTTTCTCACTGGTGAGAGTTTAGTGACAATCAAAATACAGTCAGAACTAGCAAATATTAGATTTTCAGTTTATCAAAAGCCTGTTACTAATGTTTGCCCATTCTTTAAAGAAAGATGGTTGTTTACTATAAAGATACCTATCCCTAGTGATTTCTGACTTCAGAAAAATGATATGGGATGAACGGCTCCTCTTTGTCCTTAAATTATCCTAATGTAACTTATACTTTGGCTTGCAGTATTTGCTAAATAGTACTATTTACCTACCATATACTATTAACTAAGTTTTATGACACCTGCCAGGTTGGCATTTTAAAAAAGGAAAAAAGAATGTATTGGGAAAAGCCCTCTTATCCATAATCCTGATGCAATTGGCTCTGGACTTTCTGGGAAGAATCCTGCAGCGGCATCCCAGACTTCATGTTAAATTAGGGCAGAAAATACTCTCTGCTCATAAAACATGCTTAACATCCCACAACACTCCAATAAAAGTGCTATTACATGGATTAACAGTATCCTAAACACTGAAAAGAAATGCATGTGAAAATACTCACTCTGTCAATAAGTTCAAGCCTAAAAATTCAAAAGCAAATACTCAGGCTCATCTGTAACATTTCACCAGTCTCAGATATTAAATGGCAGAATACATATTACTGCAAGAAAGTAAAAGTTACTTGCAAACCAGCCCAGAATACTAGTGGGAAGAACACAACCCCAAGGGAAAGGCACATCTCAAAGAAATTAACATTACCAAGTCCGTAAAACAAGTTTAAATACATCTTAATGTCAAGCCACAGTGCGAAACCAATGCCTTTATCTTCTATTAATGACAAGGTCAGATAGCAATCCGTGACTGAAATCTGCAGGTAACCTAATGTTGTGCGGCAGCAACTGTTCACCATATGGAGCAGCACTGATGCAGCGGGACAGGAAGGGCACGAAAAGGGTGACTCTCCAGCTCATTCCCCCACCCTCCCGGCAGATTCACGTCCGGTTGAAATTTCATGCCAAAAGAGCTTTACAGGGATGCGGGGTGGGGAGAACAAGATTAAGAAGGACATAAGAGGGCAGGGAGCTATAGACATTTAAAGAGCAAGCCAGCAAGGTATAGAGATACAGAAGGATAAAACCATTGTGCAGAAGAAAAGATGGGCTGCTCAAAAGGAAATAATGAACTGGCAGTGATGGGCACTGAATATCACGAGCAGATGAAGGCAAACACAGGCCAAAGCACAATGGCTTTGGGATTTTATTTTTACTCATACTGTTAAAGAAATGGGGCTTTCAAAGCAGGGTACTTCATGGCTGGCATGTTCATCTGCCTTTAACCAGGAGGTATGAAGATTACAGCATAAATAAAACTTTAAATGTCACTGTAAAATCTGTACTGAAAAGATAGTTTTCAAACTGCAAGTTACAGATTCTGAACCAAACCTTCCAAAGTCTGGAGCACCAGTATTTCCAATGTTTCCCATTAAAGTGTTTTTAAGAGCACTTATAGGAAAAGGTTCCTTTTTTTTTTCTATTATCAGCAATGCCAAAGATAGTAAGAATTAATGCATGAGAATCATAATGGATTCTCAAACCCAGTAACATTTTTCTTCCATCAGAAAACTTCATGAAGTATGACATAATTCATGTAAACTCAGTCTGCTGGCATATATGAACCAGTCACATCACATTCCCCATTTCTAGCCATATTAGGTCTTACACATACAGTCTTTCCACTATAAAAGAATTGAGCAATTAAAATTCAGAGATGGCAAGCCGAAAGCAAGGTTACTTATTGAAGCAGAAGGAGCAGACACTCCACCAAACTGCCTGGCCTTCTGCTGGGCAGAGATACAAATCCAGTTCAGAGGGACAGAGAAGAATCAGAGTGACTTTAAATTCTGGAAAGGTACAGAGCATTTCTTTGCTTCTGTTGAAACATATCAAAAATTAATGCCAATTCATTACACATCAATGCATTTGTATACTCCCCTGTTACAAGTGTTCAAATGAAAACAAGTCTGTTCTGAATAATTTACTCCTTAATCATCAGCCAGCTTTCTTCTGTAATTCCAGATCTTCACGACTCGCCAAATCACACCTATGACTGACAACTTCTTCAAAAAGATGTTCTCTTTGTTAAGGTTCAAAAAGACACCAGCATAGTGCAGCTGATGTGCTGCAAAACTTGATATTTGGAACAGATATAAATATGCTAATGAAAAAGTAAAAATCATAGAACCATAGAATCCCAGACTGGTTTGGGTTGGAAGGGCCCTAAAAGCCCATCCAGTCCCAACCCCCCTGCCATGGGCAGGGACACCTTCCACTAGACCAGGTTGCTCCAAGCCTCATCCAGCCTGGCCTTAGACACTTCCAGGGATGGGGCATCCACAGCTTCTCTGGGCAACCTGTCCCAGTGCCTCACCACCCTCTCCGGGAAGAACTTCTTCCTGATATCTAATCTTAACCTCCCTGCTTTCAAATACATATAAAGGCTACAAAACATGATGTTTTTAAGTTTGTGGGCTGGATCCAGCATGCCGAAACAACTTGCTCCATGTCCAATAGTAGTCTCTGTGACCATCTTTCCAGGAGGTCCCCAAACACATGTGGGAAGAGGCTGAGGGCTGGATGAACTGTTCTGGAAACCCACTTGCTGCTGTTGCAATCCTGGGGTTCCTAAACCTCAGGCCACCACAGGAGTGTGCAGCACGATGCAGACTGCCTGAACCAAAAGGTTTCAGCAGAGAACCTATTTAATCCAAAGACTAGGTGAAACCACAGCTCCTTAAAATAAACACTGATTTTTACTCAAGTGGTGACAATGCTGATTACTCCATGATTATTTCTGTAAGCAGCAGTCTAATACCCTTATTCACTTCAAGCATCAAACTTACCGACAGCTCGCTACCGTCCTCAGCAAAGGAGGCGAAAGTTATGTCTGATGGCAGCCTTCACACAACCACTTCCCTTTGAAATACGAAGCTGCACTGCTGAAATATTTCATTTTAGTTTTGTTGTGGGGCTCTTGATAAGAGAAATTACAGCAACTCAGAAACACGTATGTTCACACATCCCCTTTCTCTTACTGCACAGGATCAAGAAATATAAATGTACTTGCTGGTTGATGTTACTGTAATAATCCATTACCAGGGAAAAAACAATTTCAAAGCAAGAGTCACTTACTACATAATTCCCTTATAAAATACAACAGTTGTTTTAAGTTAAGGATTTTTTTTTTTTTTTAATGAACACAGGTATTTTTCTCATTTGGCCACTAAAGTACTCATTCTAATGTACTCACTGTAACCTTTTTTTTTTAATTTTTTTTTTTCCCTTTTGTTACTAACAGAATGTAATTATTTCCAATCCCAAGATCCTGAGCAGAAAACTCCACTTTTTTTGAGGCTAGGAAAAAATGAAAGTATGTGTTATGTAAAATAAAGAGGAGTCCTTCGCCTCACTTGTCCTAAAACCTAAGGGATGCTTAATCACCATAATTTGAAAACTTTATTCTTTTTCAGCTTCTACTTTGCAGAGATTACCTATTTTAATGCTTGATTATGAAAAAAAAAGACTAATCAACTTTGCAGTGCATGGAATACGAATATAATTTTAATATAATTACTAGTACAGCTGATTTTATGTTTGATTTCTACACCCTCAGATTTTCCAAGCTTAATGTAAAGAGAGCTGTCAATATGTTTGTGAAGGTATAAAAAAGCAGAAATCGCATTCACCACCAGAATGTATCTCTATATCCAAAGGTGGGTCACAAGTTCAAGTACATTAAAGGCCCAGTGGAGAAATCAAGAATACTTCACTTGGACACAGTGAATTCAGCAATAGGTAAAATCCCTCAACACATACGTAGCTAAAACAGGTTTATATATTTTGTAAAAAAAAAAAAAAAAAAAGCTTACCTGACCATTTTTCCCCAGTTCCATTTTAACTATTGCAACAGGAGCGTTTATCTGATCAACATGTCTTGACTGTGACTTCAGATCCACTCGCCAGTTCATGCTTTTCAAGACATTATCCCAACAGCTTTGATTGATCAGGCTCTCATGGATCTTTACACGGTGGTTCTTCCAAAATTTTGCAATGACTGCAGCTTGATCTGACGTGATGCCACCTTGTTTTTTTGTTTGGGCAGTGAGAAAAGCCTCCAGCTGATTCAAATCCATGTCTGCTGAAACAATTGACTGTAGGAAAAATAAGAGAAAAAGGGAAAAGCTTGACAAAAAATATTCTTTAACAAGCTTAAATTGAAGAGAATACCATAAGGTCACATCTTATAAATATTGGATTTTAAAGGGATAGTGCAAGCAAAGCTGGGTTACGGAAATATTTGGACACAATTCATTAAAACTCAATTTGCAAGTGCCTATCACTTATCCCAGATTCCCACCCCTGGAAAGCTAAAGAGTACATGGATCATTAACAGTGACAAGGAAACTGGGAGCACCTTTGGGAATGCAGTCCTGGTACAAGATAATGAGAAGGCTGCTCACTGTCTGCCTGGCCCTTTCCTCCAGTACGCCCTAGGCATACCCAACTGGTCAGTACTGGGAACACTGGTCTGGCATGATACTGCTGTTCTAATGGTCTATTAAACAGGAAAGCTGGAATAAACACATGTCATGGTTTAACCCCAGAGAGCAACTAAGCGCCACACAGCTGCTTGCTCACCTTCCCCTTTCGCCAGTGGGATGGGGGAGAGAATCAGAGGAAGAGGCAAGAAAACTTGTGGATTGAGAACAATTTAATAATTGAAAATAAATGAAATAAAATAATGATACAAATAATACTAATAATACTACTAATAATATGTAATGAAAATACTGCTACTACTAATAATAACAACATGCAATTAAAATAATGGAAAAAAACCCGAAACAAATGATACAACCGCTTGTCACCCTCTGACCAATGCCCAGGCAGTCCCCAAGCAGCAAGAGCCAGAGAGAGCACAAGCCAAACCCCAAGAGCCAGACCCCTGGCCATTATACCCTGAGCATGACGTTTTATGGCATGAAATCTCCCTTTGGTCAGGTTGGGTCAGCTCTCCTGGCTGTGTCCCCTCCCAGCTTCTTGCAGAGGAGAAGGTGGGAACACAGGGGCAGGAAGAGAAACTGAGAAAGTCCTTGGCTTGATAAAAACGTTGCTTGGCCAGAACTAAAAACATCAGTATGTTGTCAATATTCTTCTCAGCACAAATCCAAAACATAGCCTCATACTAGCTACCGTGAGGAAAATTAACTCTATCCCAACCAAAACCAGCACAACACAGCATGCCAGGGGCCAAGGCTGAATCAAGTCAGGAGACATCCCAGCTCGTTGCAACATCCACAGCTTTATTCGCCACCTCCATACCGCAGACAAGGAAGCAAAACTGGTAAATGCCGCACCAGAAAAACAGAGTCTGCAGCACTGGCCGCAGTGGCATGCTGGCTGCAGCAGAGAGCGTGAGTCTTCCAAGGGAGAGTGTGAAGTGGTCCTTAAAAATGCAACTGCAGCTTCTTCTGAAGCATCAGTGGACTCTGTCAGGCTTACTACTGTATTTATGTTTTGCAAGGGAGTGTAAGAGGTCATTTACTCCTCCTCCCTGTGCAGCCACAGAAATGATTCTTCCAAAACTCCTTTTTTTGACAGTTACCCAGTTTTCCCACCTATTTTTCCAAAGCTGACAACCCTACAGCCTTAAATTTGCACTGCCTACATGGCAATGGTTGCAAACTATAACTGCAAATGGAGTGGAGGACGGGAGGCGGTGAGAGGAAAGTGTGGCTAAGTTTCTCCATCGTCATTTCAAGCAGATGCTTTTGCTTCATTCTCAGCCAAAATGGATGCAACTTATCCTAAATAGATATGCCACCTCCAAGCACGTACTGATGTGGAGAGCAGCAAGGCAAGGTGCAGCCAACGCTGCAATCCTTGGCAACTGCCTCCATTTAATTTTCCTCGACATGGCAATTCCTACTGCTGTACTCCATGCATCTGGGGAAATAGTCTCACTCCCGTTAACCAACGGGGTAACACTGTGTGGCTTCTGGCCGGACGCACGCTGTGTTCTTCACACTGCCTGTCTGAAAAACAGGGCATCACTTCTCTAAAAACTGACAGGTTAGCTCTCCGTGAGCTTGCCGAGGATGTGGGGCCTGCTGCTCCTCCCCACTTCACGGACCATGAAGTGCGCAAACTTAGTCACATCAGGAGTGGCCTGAAATAAAATGGCAGGTAAAAAAACCCCAAAATAAACACCAAAAAAATCACAGTAACTAGGCCAAAAGAAGGAGCTCATGTATCACGCAAGCAGCAGAGAACAGCAGCAGGTTTGCTGCTTTGAGGGGAATAAAGCCAACACCGCGATGTCCTCAGCCTTAAGAAGATAGATACACCACCACATCCTCCTTACCCTGAGTCTTTTCAAAAGAAAAGCAAACCAGAAACACCCCCCTGTAAAAAAAACCCAACACACAACTTGTCATCTACAATGGTCAGGCTGCCTTTTATCATCCACCATATAAGATCTTTCTCCTGAAGCTTTTATGCTTGGGGGGTTTTTGGCTTGTTTTTTAAGAGGGAGACGCTGCCTTCCCTCGCTCTCACAATGGATTAGCTGCCATCCATTACATGATGAAGGAAAGAAATGGCACTCCACACTAGAAGTAACCGCTCAGCTGTATCGGGGTTCCAGCTTAATAGGAGCATCTGCTAGTTTCTTATACAATTTGACATGCCTAGTGCACTGCTCTGTCTTCCCACAGAGCATTCACCCTATCTGTACATAGTGTTTGTTTTTATAAGGAAGATTTTTAACTAAGAGGTAAGTAACCTCTTAATAATATATCTAATTATATCTATAATACTATCTAATTATGCTGTGAGTGAAAAAAGCACTTATTTTCATTTTCAAAAGAAAAGCTGTTTAGATTTACAGTCCTTTCCCACATTCGCATCTTACATGAACAGGACTGTCTATTAACAGCAGTGTGGAATATTTTCTGATTTAATACCTGTCATATCACTACAGCTGTGTGGAGATCTGTTTGCATGTTGTGTGACACCAACTACCACTTAGGTACACCTTTTGCACTGGTTTATGTGAAGGGAGGGGAGAGGAATAGAGGTGAATCAACAACCACAGACCCCAGCACCTTATGTAAGCCCTGTCAAGACAAGGATGAAGTTGAGATGCAGACTTCCTTCTCAGTTGAGCTGTGCAGAAAACCGCCTCCTGTTTTATGCCTGAGCAGGAACCGAGAACATAAACTGCATCCTCTGCACTGAATGAAGCAAAGGTGTCATGGAGTAACATCTAATCTGCATTAAATGCGAACCTAATGCAGATTCAATGGATCAAATAACCAGGTAACCCTTTTCCGGGCTTGATTTTAACACCTTCAAATATTTCACACTTGTAATTCTTTGTGTCTTGTATCCCCATCCCCTTCCGGCAAGATGCAGTAAGATTTCTGGCAGTGCTTTGCAAGCTGGTAAAAAACACACACAGTTCCTTATTGTGCTCGACACATGATACACATCTGACTTCGGAGCGTATCCAAAAGAGGAAGCTTATGACCAAGCTTGCAGTTTTAAGCATAAGGGAAGACAAAACAATATTACTAAAGGTTGTACAGGACAGTTAAACTTGCCTATTTGGCAAAGATCATCAACAGATCGACGATTCGTTAAGATCTGGCGCGAGCTACATCTAAAAACTCTCTACATTCATGTACCATAAGCACCCTGATAGAGTTTGCCACCAAAACACTGTCACATAAAACAGAGGAAGGAAACCGTGCATCATCATCTCTCTCACCCAGACACATGGGCACATGTACACCCAGCATGGATTGCTTAATACTGTACACAGCTAAGAAACCAGAAGGCAACCGCCACATTGTAGTTTGGGGGAATATTTATCAGATGATGCATGCTTTAAATAATACACTGATGTAGTCCATCATTCAGACGACAACCTCTCTCAGCTTAGAAATACGACTACTACTTAAAAACTCCTTTTAAAAAATGATTAATATAAATTTTAATTGGAAGCAGGCGCAAGCAATCAAGGAGTTACACTTCAGTATAGCTGCACAAAGTTATTAATGAATACATATTGCCTGTGAAATTCCTCAAGAAAACTCACCAGCTATGGAAGTTTGCAAGTCACATAAGAACAGCAACACATTCTAATAATCTTTTCCATCTTAACTTGGAAATATTTAAATATGGACAGGAAACCTCATCGAATGAGAGAACAACAATTAAGGTCTTCGCTGATCTTCCACACCCTTTATTGTACAAAAACTTACACAACTTACTCTTTAAACAAGAGCAGTTCTACTCCATTGCTCCATATGAATGACCACAGTTAAATTTCAGACTTTTTTATACCTGGGGCAATGTCTTAAGTTGGCAAAAATTATATTTCCAGTCATATTCTGCACAGCATCACAAAGAGTTCTTTCCATTACATTTAACAATGCTCATTTATTACACGGAATATCATATTACAGTGACTACACCTTATTGATATGTCTAAGGATTAATTTAATCTTAAAACGTGAGTGGTTCTTCCGTGCTAATAACCTAAGACAGATAAAATGTATCTGATTATAGTTCTCTCTCTCATGCTTTCAAACCCTAGAAGCTTCAGATGAGCATTCACCACCACCAGGACAATGACGATTTACTATTTCAATATAGAAATCTTCAACTAACAAAAAGCTGTCTAAGAACGTATAAAATCATAGCTGCTTTATGCTAGTGAGTAATTTCATTTACATTACCATGACTATTCACATAAGTGACTAAGCAAGAAAAAATAAATCCTATTTTCAAAACTAGTCTGTAAGAGAACACCATTAGATATTAAAAATTTCTTCACAATATGTATCTTGAGATTCGTTAAAACATGCTTTTATCCCCCCCTTCCTTAGGAAGCACAGCTTGTGGATGGCATGTCATACTACAAGCAGGGAAACCCCACCCTCGGCAACCAGCTACACTTTTCTTTCCAGGCGCTGGGCAGACGTTTTTAAACAAGAAGAATGAGTTTTGGTCATACTCATTTCTCCTTGTGTTCACCTTCAACACATACCCACTGTCTTCAAACATAATTCAGCCACTAAAAATATGACTTCAAATAGTATTTCCTTAATGGAAGAACATTTGATCATCTGGAGAGCTTTGTATT